TACAACGCAATTTTTAAATTTTTCTATTATATGTGTGAAATGTCCGCCATTATGTTTTTCGACGCTCTCGAAAACAACAACAACAACAACAGTGGCGGCGACAACAACAAGCATAGTAGCAGAGAGCGATTGTGAAGCCCTCCCACTTCTCGTGCACCCCATGTCTAAGAACGACAACAACAAATATGTCAAAATTAAATCTATCTCGCACTCACACGCGCATACAGACACACACATCCATATATTTCGCTCCCGCACACGGCAGCATATACACACACACACACGCGCACACATTGGTGCTAGCGCCAATTGATCGCTCACACGCGCATATGTGTGCCAATTTCTCACCTACACAGGCGCACGCTCTTTCACGCACACACGCGCACAGAGGCGCGCACGCTCTCACGAAATAATCGAGAGGGCAGCGATACCCAGCCACACACACGCATACCACAGCGCACTCTCTCACGTTCGTATACTAATCGCAATGAGAACGAGACGAGTGTAACGTGGCGAAGCACGAAATAATCGAGAGCGCAATTCACAGTCCCATACACGCATAAGGCCAACTAACGCCATGCGACGCCAACTGCGACGGCGACGGTGACGGCGACAGCGACAGCGACAGCAAAAGGCATTGGAACAGAGACGGGTGAGGCGAGAGGAGTCATTGCAAACCAGTGTTGCAGTGGCAAATCGCGCAATACCAATCCGCATTCCAAACGAAAGAGGTTAGACCTCCTTATTCATTCACTATTTTGTACGTTGCATCCAGCAGCAAAGGCGACGGCAGCAGCAGTAGCAGAGAAGGCCGGAGGAAGCGGAGTAGCAGGCGCAGGCGCAGCAGCAGAATGCACTTCTTTTTTTTTTTTTTTTTTTTTTCTTAAATTGTGGTTGGGGCTGCTGCTATTGCTGTTGCCTCTGCTGGCAGTGACTGAGGCTTGGCGCTTGGCATGCGACTCGAACTTTGCTTGATGTTTAGCTGTTGAGGAAGAGATAGCGAGACAGAGAGAGGGAGAGAGAGAGAGAGAGAGGATATAGAGGAAGCTATTTCAACTATGCCTTTAATCACTCTCTCACACAGATCTATCGATATTTGTTGAATGCTTATATTTATTCATCATATTTTTAAATGATTCTCGCCCGTTGCCTTGCCTTCGGCTTGGGTTTGGCCAATTCTTTGCACAACCTGCGAATTACAATAAATTCCTTAACCGGCCGTGTAATCGCGTTATCATCATTATTTACAATAACAGCAATGCAATCAAGAAGTGCGTACACTGAGCGAAATGCTCAAAGGTTGATGAACTAAATAACCTAATCAATTTTTTATTCTAATTGGCAAAGAATGTGAGCTAAAAAAGTTGCTAATAAGCTACTGGGAAATACAAAATATGTTTTAATTTTAGTTAAACTTCATTTAAGAGGTGCCAAATTTTTTCATAATTCATATTTATTTACATTTTCAATTTTTACGAACTAACTATAATTTAAAAGTTATAAAGGATAGAATATGTAAGGCATGATCGAAGACCAGATAAATAGACTTATATAATGATACAGATAGAAGTAAATATATATTAATATAACCTATATGTCTCGATATAACTGTTTACCTACTGATCGATAGATCATAACGCTATAGTGATCGATTGCTAGATGATGATTAGATTGATACATATATACCTACATATATTATGAGCAAATAGACATACAGATAATTATATATACGTATATAAGATACATGGAAAGAAATAAAATAGTTAGCTATCATTTCCACACTAACTGTCATACTTTGTGTTAGTGCATATTCGCTCAGTGTAAAAATGCGTATCTCTATTAGATACTAGGTCTTCGTTTTCATGCGTTCGCTGCGTGTTAAGAAGCAGTCGCTGTTGTTATTGTTGTTGCTGTTGTTGCTTTTGCTGTTGCAGTTGGTCTGCCTAATAACAGCAACAGCTACGCGACGGCAGCAACAACAACAACAACAACAACAACAACAACAACGGCAACTTGCATACGAAACAATTTGTGGCAACTTTTGAAAGCTACACAACAACAACAAGCCCGGCATGCCAGACGTGTGTACATACCTACACATACTTCAATGTTACCTAATTAGAGTTTACAAGTAGAAGTAGACGCTGTCGCAGTTAAAGCAACAACAACAACAGCAACAACAGCATGATTCATTGGAATGCAAAGAATTTTTATATGTTTCTATCTACATATGTACACACGCACCTACATATGTGCGTGCGCTCGGGTGTGTGTGTGTGTGTGTGTTGTTGCCTTTTACAATTTTAATATGGACGATGAATGATTTTGTAACAGAAAAAAAAAATATAGGCAAAAGAAGCAGAAAACATCAACACCCTAAAAACATCAAGGCAAACACTGCGCATGTGGAATGCGGCCCAACCATAACAAAGCAGATGCACCAGAGTAAAAGAGAAAGAGACAGACAGAGAGAGGGAGATTGGGGCTGAGACAAAGATCGGGTGGTGGTAACAAGGCCCCAACCAGGCTGTTAGACACACAGACAGACAGACAGACAGACAGACAAACTGAGAGACAGTTAGGCAAATAGACAAGACAGACAGACAGACAGACAGAGATAGACTGCGAGTCAGTCAAACGAGACAAACAGCTCCCAATAGATAGACAAATATTCATCATGGCATCAACGCTTGTAACTTTCATATGCCACACATGTAGAGAAAAGTGAAGCGTTTCACAAGTCTTATGGGATTTTCAGATATTCCAATTAGCAATGAGAGAGTCCTAGCAAAGCTTTAGTTTAGCTTAGGAAAGAGAGAGAGACAGAAAGGGAAAGGAGGAGAGATAGATAGAGAGAAAGGACAGGGTAGGGATTGGGTAGATAAATCATATATCTCTATTACTACATGGCTCCTTGATTGATGAAATGATTGATTGACTGATTGGCGGATAAACACAGTCCATCCCTTAGAAAAATGTTTTCAGGAATATTCCAGAAGCAGATTCGGAAAATTTATGGAAAGTCGGAGCAAATTCTTATATTTTATATATTGCCTACAATATCAATGAAAACAGATTTGTATAACAATCATTCAATTTGGTCTTTCATCTAATAATTCCTTTCTCACACTAGGTATCTAAATATAATATATAAGATAAAATAGATATATATCATTATTATATGCATGCATAATTATCATATATATTTTTAAAAACTCAGTCAATCCTTGCGGGGTATATATCTACTATATAAACGGAAAACTTTCAAAAGACAGCTACGCCAAAGACGGTTATCACTAAGAGAAATAAAAAATCGTAGGATAATTAACTTATAAATATTTTATTATATTTCATTAAAGATAATCTTCTGATAACTAGAATACACTGTGCAGAGTTAAGCAGATTCATAAGACTAAGGCAACCCTTTTATATCCTTTAAGCTAAACTTCATTTAAGTTCAGGAATTCGTATAAAGCTAAAAACTCAAGTTGCATTCCCTTTGAAATCGAATTACAAAGCATTTCAGCTTTTATGATTCACTTTAAGAGGTCTTGAGGCATGCGAGCATTCAGTTTTGTAGTGGGAACTCCCAAGAATTTTCAAGAAACCATAATAGCAAAGAGATACGATACGATGGCCATAGTGGGAAATCCCAGCATCAGCTTTCCACGCAGACAAATGCACAAAGAGACAGAGAAACGAGCAGACGATCGTCGACCTAGAACGGTCCAGACTATAGAAAACTCAAGTGTCTGGCTTTAATAATGGGATTGCATTGTAGGCGGCGTTACTTCAAAACGAAACCAAAACTGCATAACAAACAAATTGGGCATATTTTTTGTTGGCCTCGCTGCGTGTGACAGGCCAAGTGGCCGAGGCGGCTGGCCGAGGCTGCTGTCTGGTCAGCGCTCAATTTGGCATTTAGCATTAGGATAGGGTATACGGGGTATCGGTCTGGGCAACGCCAACGCCAGCGGCATCGATGCATTTTGCAAAATTCGTAGAACCCATTGAGGCATAGGCCAGAGCATTTGAAATAGGAGGCGCAACTGCCAACTGGGATTTTCTTGAGAAGAAGCAGCGGTCAGTTGCATTTCTGTTTTTCCCTCCCTCCCGCTCTCTCGCTCTCTCTCTCTCTCTCTCCGTCTCTCTGTCTCTCTTTCAGTTTTGAATGCATCGATTCCTGGAAGAGACCACCACCAGGGGCCATTCCATTTAGCCAGCCAGGCCTGCAATCATTTCTGCTGACAACAACTTCCTGTGTGCCACAGATTACCCTACAACACAAAAATGTCAAGCGATTAGTGTGCGACTCACTCTGTCTGTGTGTCTGTCTGTGTGTGTGGGTGGGTGTGCCAATATCAAAGTGAGAATGCCGCAATATTATGTCCTTGTCCTGCCCTGTCTCAAGTGTGGGAAGTGATGTGTTGATTACAAAACAAAGCGAATGGGAACAAGTTGGGCTGCTCGAGCTCGAAATGAACGACTAGGCGATTCCCAGCAACGGGCTACTGGACTTCATCGATTATCGTCAAATGTGCGAGGCATACAAATGAGAGTTATGAGAGTACACTTAAGAAAGACATATATTAAAGACGAGCTATAATAATAATATACATATATAATAATGCAGATGAATATCAGAAGAAACATTTATTATAGACAAGCTAAAATAATAATAAAACTGAATATTACAAAAAAAATGATCCACTTTTTGTCCATTCTCTTCTTTTTCTACTTTCTTCCCTTCGTTTCTTTGATTTGTCCAGAATTTAATAGCACCTTGTTCTCTTATATTTCATCTCTGCTGTTTCCCTTTGAATATTTCCGCATCGATTCATTTCATATTCCGTTCCCTATTTTATCTCCTATTAATATCTCTATTTATCCTTCTAATAATTTGTTTTGCATCTTTCTACTTTTCTTTCTCTTAACCCTTCCCCTATCATATTAATTTCTCTTCTCTTTTCTATTTTCTGTTCATTCAGCATCTAGTCATCCTTTTCTCTCTTTTCAAGAAATCTCTTCTATTTATAGAATTATGGATTCAACCCAACTCCGTCTACCCATTCAACAAAATCAGTATACCCCACCGTCAGATTTTCAATGAGTACAAAATAGAACCCATGACCTCTAACCTATTTAAGAAGGACATCAAAAAGTTAACCGTTCACAGTTCCAAGAACTGCCCAAGATAGGGAGGAGTTTACAGTAAATACAGTAAATACACCAAATATGCAATCAATTCTTATCGATCGTTGCAGCGTGAGACACTTTCGATTCTCACCAAAAATAAAAACGAAGAGCAAGAAGAAGAAAAATTCAATTGCAAGAGAAACCATTCATGGCTTCTCGAAAATCTTGGAACTAATTTGTGCTCCGTTATCGACTCGACTCGACGCAACTCGAATCGACACAATGGCATCGATCTATCAGCCCTAATAAAACACATGTTGTTATATAGGGGAACAAAGATGCTGCGGCAACAATGCAATCTCAACATTATCAAAGAGCGTTTTTCGACGTTTGTAATCCAATCTTGGGCTGCTTAACTCGAATGTGGGAAGCTAAGCTAAGTGCGGACTGGCAATCGCCAACCAAATTTGTGAATAATTTAGACAAATTATGATTTTGATTTGCCATGGGAATAATTAGGGATCGTTTGATATTTACATACTCTATAATTTACTTTGGAAGGAAAAACTATAATGATAATATGATGAATATATATAACATATTCTAATCTGTTATGCGAGCTCAATTTGCCCATGTTCAGTTAGCTCTCGTAACAAAGTGTCCTAGAAAACTCATCAAGTATATGCTTAGCTTAGTCTGCTCATATATAATACTTTGTTTCAGTGTATTCCTTAATAATTCATACTAAATCTTCTTCCCTTTCGCATCCATCAACTAGTACTACTAGAGATTTGCTGGATTCCATTTAGCTGTTTTGCTGCATCACAATTTTACCTCTAGACGCCACATGAGCTACAACTTGAGCGCTCCCTCCCTCTCTCCCTCTCTCTCTCTCTCTTTCTCGCTCTCACTAGCTCCTCTGTTTGCTTTAGCTTTTGAAGTTGAAGCGACAACATCATCACCATTGCCAACGCCATCAGCAGCATAGACTGCGTCTCCATTTGTCCGCTGAAGTGCATTGTTGTTGTTGTTGTTGTTGTTGTTATGTTAAGTGCGTGGCGTGTTGGGTCTGGGCCACGTCGCATTTGAATATGAAAAGCATGTGATATGCGGTCCACTGGAATGCCTGGAATGCAGTCAGCCTGTCGCGGCGCTCCGCTTTGCTTGAGCTCTGGGCCTCTCTCATTGTTATCAGCCAGCATTAGGGAGTGCCACATAGTTTTGCCTACCTTAAGCAACCTGCAACGAGCGACATGCAACTGGCCATGGCCATGGCAACAGCAACTGCAACTGCAGCAGCAACTGCAACTGCATCTGCCATCTGCATACAATGGATCGCACAAAGGCATTGGTAATTTTTGCCAAATAAGGCTAGCCACAGCAGTAGCTGCTGTTGGGATACCAGTATTGCTACACACATACACACACATATGTATACACACGCATATATATATACATATATATATCCACATTCAAGTCCAACGGTCATTTTCATCCAAGAATGCGGAAGAATGACTCAAGCAACTCGCCGCAATAATTCCAAAATAAATGCTCAAGCAAAAACCAAAGAAAAAGCAAAGCAAAGAATGGCAAAGGAAAAGAAAAGAAAAGCGCTTAGCGTTTCCATCTGCTTGTGTCTGCACAACATGTGAATATGCGTGTGTGTGCGTATGTTTGTGTGTGTGTCTGTATGTCTTTGCAGACTCGTAACTAATGGCTTCTTGACAAGAAGTTAATTTTGACATCTACATATATCCAAAAGCCAAAAGACATGTTAATCAAGTATTATTTATATCAATCCATACCTACATATATGTTAAAAAGTTGGCCATTTAAATTTAAAAATTGTAAATACAAATTTAAATTTAGAAATTCTAGCATAGAATTAGTAACAAATAATAAATAATCAGAATTTATGCTAGCCCCCAAAAATATTTATTAATGTTTTTTTTTTTTATGTACACATATATAAATAAATGTCAAATATGCATATATAAAATTTAATTCAAGTCCTAATTTTTTTTTTTTGTATTTATTTATTTGCTTATTATTATTTTTAGGCTCTAAACTTCATAATATTATAAAAAATAATACAAATAAAGAATATTTAATTTATATACATATTTTTTTATATTTATTTATTTTTTATATTTAATCTATTTCTACACAAATTTAATTTAAATATTAACAATATATTTAATATTAGTAATTTTTATAAATTTTCCAATATTAGCTATGCATGAAGATCTAAGTAAAGATCTCATTATCTTAAAGTTGCACTTCGCTTAAGCACTCAAGTTTCCAGTCGCATCTACCAAACTTGGGCAATGACTAGATGTTAATGTAGTACAGTATACAGTATTATAATATATTTATCATATTAATTAATCAATTACAAACATCTTAGAATTTAAAGTTTTTTATGTAAATTCATAATATGTTCTTCTTGCCATTGAGAAACTTTTCCACAGACAATATGTTCTACCTATTCTCTAGTGAGAATAAGAAAATCAATATATCATTTTTATCATAATTTGAAAACATATCAAAATATTGAATACAAATTTTCTTAATACAAATGTACAATCTATTAATTAGAGATATATAAATCTTTTAGCTAAATATACACGCAATTTTTTACATATTTAAAGTCTAGAAATCGTAGTCTATAATCAAAGTGATCCCAAAGCATATAAAGCTTTTGCTGGCCTGTTGCACAGCTTTGGTTGTGCCTGAGCTTTCGTTGCTTTTAGAGTCAGCTTAAAGCTCAACTTGTATCCCACTCGGGCATCGATTGCCGATGATTTCTTCGATTGGAGCCTGCAGAGCGCCACCTAGAGGGCAGCTGTGCCGTTGTCTATCCAACAATCAATCAAAACATCAACAGTAGCAGCAGCGGCAGCGGCAGCACTGCCACGCCCACTCCCCTTAGCTTCCCTTCCGTTGTTGGCTATGTTTAGCCATACACTCAGACAGACACACACACACACACACACACACACATACACATAGAGACAGACAGCGATGTACATCTGTGATCTAACAGTCTGTGACAAATTTTATTTCTGTAGCGGATCGGCGACGTCTGTCTCGTTCCGTTCAGCCCCTCGGCACGCCCCGCGCGCCTCCTTGAAAAGCGCTCAAAAGCTAATGTCACTTCGCAGCATATTTAAAAGCACATAAAGATGTTTATACCAAAAATAACATGAACAGCCAAGAAGAACGACCAGCCCAGCACACACACACACACACACACACACACACACAGGGATAGACAGACACTCACACACACACACATATATACATAGATCACTCCACCTCCCACCCCACCCCATCGGCAGACGGGACTGCGGCCCGTGGACGAGAAAGTCAAAAAATAGCCTAGCGACAGCCCAAAAATAAACGAAGCAGTAGACGAAGCCAACGTCGCCGTCGCTGCCAGCGTCGCAGTCGCAGTTGGACCTGGCGATAATGTCGCAATGGTGGCGCTAGCCGTACGCATGAGCTGCGCCAGGGCTGCTACCCCTGCGAGAAAAAGAAAATGAGGTGACTCATGCCCGGCAGGAGAGTTCGACTCGCCTCGGCTCCACTCGTCAGATCCTTTCCAGCATGCGCTCTCTGACCCACATTCGTTGCCTACTTATGGGCGTGCCCAGCTGCCAGCTGCCCATATAAGCTGGCTAGCCTAGCCCTGGCCGTCTGCAAATTGGTTGCCGCCTGGCTCAAGGAGACGCGGGGCGGGGCGGGCGGCGTGGCCTGGCCCGGTCTGGTCTCGTCTAGTCGCGCCAGCAATTCAACTCGTGTGTATCTGCTGTTTGAGTAATGGACTCTGCGACTGCGACTGCGACGAGCGCCGGGATACGGAACAGATCTATGGGGCAGACGTAGACGCATACGTTTAGAGAGCGTGCTATTAGCATGCAGCGGACAGTGAGGCGGCGCTATATGGAACGCACTGTAAAAGGGCTGAAAGCAATGAGAGAGCTGAGCGTAGCAAAGACTTTAAATATTCTATGAGGTGTGGCAAACGGTGGAATCTCTCAAAGTTGTTCAGGGATATTATATCATATCATACTATATACATATATACTACATTTTCAAATTTTGCCAAAGTGATCAATGTATTTGTAGTTCTTAAAGACAAACCAAATGCGTTATGAATATCGATGTAAAAATAGAGAAAATACTGGAGAGCTTATAAATATGAAGAGCTACAAGAGCCCTATCCATCTTTTAATATTCAATTTTTCTTTGTTACCCAATATAAACTGCTGTAAGGTAAATAATAAAGTCGATATATAGAAGCTATACATAATATATCATAACTATCTATTTACAATTCTTATTTAATTATTATATCTCACATGTATTACTTGGAAACTTATTCCTCTATGTACAAAATACAAAATAATGCTAATATATAACGAGATTCTATATTCCACAATTCCCTATATATTTCTAAATTTAATTTTAAATATCTAGAAACCTTCCCGGCATAGCCATGTCTCACTGTACATCCATATGTATATATGTAGACTACATGCTAGATCATTTCTATAGCGTAAATTCAAATTCAGATTCACTTGCCCACAAAATTAGAAATTTAAACCAGCAGCAACAGCAACAACAGCAACAACAACAACAACAACAACAACAACAAAATAGCAACATTTTTGAGCGTCTAAATAAAGTAGCGAAAAAAAATCCGAAACAAGGAATAAGCAGAGAGCTTCAAACAGAATAGAAGATCCGAGCGCACAGCGAGAAAACTGAGGAGAAAGCAAAAGAAATCAACAACAGGGAAAATCCATCCTAAGCGTATGTGTGTGTGTGTGCAGCAAGCAAAAGTTTTATTTAAAGTTATATATATATATAGTAGACTATATAGATCGTCCAACCTTTGCCTCTCTTACTCATGCGCCCGCTCCCGCTCACACACTGTTAGTCTGTCTCGCTCTGGCCCACTGCGCTGCGTTGTCTATTGGGGCATTGTCTGGGAATGCCCAGTGCCCGCCGTATTGTGGCAACCGGAATGCGGCGTCTGTCGCTGTCTGCCCCTGCCCCTGCCCCTGCCCCAGCCAGTGGCAGGCCCTTTGTTTGATGAGGAACTGGGGGCCCGCGGCAATCGAGAGTCGAGAATCGAGACAGACAAAGTCGTACAAATGCATTCCATGCTTTCTATATAGCCATGGCTAGGCTACATGGGCTATATGGGCTATATACCCTTAATCATTGCAACTCAATCATCGCTCGAAAATAGCAAAGCACACCCACACACACACACACACACACACACTTACCCACAGACAAATCTCTCTAAACGCATTTCCGTTTATTTTTGGGTTGCCATTCAACGAGGGGGAGGCCCCACTGTGCCGTGTTGCGAGAGAGAATGAAGCGAATCCCAAATGGAATTTCAATTCAACTAAAAGCTCTCAAGTGTAAGCCTTAAGTAGGGGACTTACATATCCATTCGATCTAGATGATATTATTGTTTGTCTTTCGATTTGGTTGATCGTGCAGTCGGCATTAGGGTGGACCGCACAAACAAAAACAGAAAAAAAGCACACGCCTAATCACCTGTCCACCCTAAATCAGCTCAAGGCC